TATACAGGTCTTCACTTCAATATAATAAGATATCAATGTGACTTTTTCAAAGACTTCAGTCCCTTGACACCAGAGTAACTTGACACTTGGGTTACAGTTCACTGATGAGTTACAAATCATGTGTTTAGAGCAAAAGAAAGGATCAAGTACCCAACATAATCAAAATTATAAGCGAAATCTTAAAATTATAAGCGTTTGATAATTTGAAGGAACAACTATGAATATTGTACGTGGCTAATGATATTTAGAACGAAGCAATGGACATTAAGGTCAGATCAGAGAATATATGAAGCGAAAAATTCATTACCTAGGACATACAAAATTCATTACCATTCCTCCCGTATGAAAAAACATATAAACATGCAATGTGATAACAATTTGCCTTATAGGCAGTAACATGTAAATATGCAATGTGAAAATTCCAGCTCTGATATAAAGGAAAATTCCCGCCTCAAGCCATCCAAACACTTTATACGGAGTATTTGGCCTCATTCTATCCAAAATTAGTTGGCACTTTCTCCTTACTCGTCATAAGTCAAGATATGATTCTATAACTTCACATTAAAAATATTGCGTTTAAATCCATGATTTGAATATCTTACCCCGTGGATCCCTCAGTCCTCTTTCGCTATTGGACTTGGGATCAAGGGAGTCCTATCTCCGATATGGGCCTAACCTTTCTTCTTCCATGGTCCCCCTTCCCCTGCCTTCTCCCTATATTTCCAAAAGATTTGTCTGCTGACCGTGTCCAATATGGTGCTCTCTAATGGAAACAATAGCTTGTAGTAGTTAAAAAGCATAATACTAGTAGTGGTTTAAGGGACCAATTCGGCAATTACTAGGAAATCTATTATTTTGTGACAAAAGTTACATTGCTTTTAATTATCTTTGGCTACAACTTGAGCTGTATCATTAGCTTCACTTTTTTGTTTCTTTGAAATAATTAGTCCTAACACAATCCCCCCCCCCCCCCATAAATACTCTACTAAGATAACACTTCAAGTTTCAATATTATTGGCTATTGTTCCTAAATCCTAACACTAGGCCACCCAATTAATTAGCAAAAATGAGCTTGATTATATTTGCTCTTATATTTCTTTTAGTTGTACATGCATCGCTCAAAATGAAACACAGTTCATCTACAATGGTTTCAAAGAATCTACCAATAAAATTCATGTAGATGGTGTTGCGACTATTCTCCCTAATGGTCTTCTCCGAATGGCAAACTTTACAGCCCACAATACTTCCCATGCTTTCTATCCACACCCTGTGACCTTCAAACCAAATCATACTATACATCATTTTCCACCACTTTTGTTTTTGCAATGTATCCTCTTGTAAATAAATCTGGCCATGGAATCGCCTTCGTTATAAGTCCTACCACAGATTTGCATGGTAATCCATACCTAGGAATCTTCAATGCTTCTATCCCCAACCTATCTTCCAAGGATTACACTAACCAGTCTTCGAAACATATATTCGCCATAGAGTTAGACACTATAAAAAATGATAAAGTTAATGATATTAATAATAACCATGTAGGAATTGATATTAACAGCCCGAAATCTAAAGATGCTGCTCCAGCATCATACTATTCTGACAAAAAAAGGGGTGAACAAATCGCTAAAGCTAAATAGTGGAAAACCGATGACAATCTGGATCGACTATGATGCAGTAGATATGATTGTTAATGTAAAACTAGCTCCACTTGGTCACCCTAAGCCTAGCAAGCATCTCTTAGCTAAGCGCTTCAATCTTTCCACCTTATTCCTTGATTCTATGTATGTTGGCTTCTCTTCTTCTACCAGCCTGTTTACAAGTAGTCAATACATACTAGGATGGAGCTGGAATCAAAGTGGGAAAGCACAGGATTTAGACCCTTCCAAGCTTCCACTACTTCCACGATTCAAACCTCGAAAAATAAAACTAAGCTTAAGCCAGCTGATTTTTCTAGTTCTGCTGAGTGTGTTATTACTATTGTTGTTATTGATTTCTGGAGCAGTTTGGTTTTTATGGAGGAAAAAATATGAAGAGGTTCTTGAACCATGGGAAAAAAAGCATGCACCACAAAGATTCTCATACAAGGATCTTTATGCAGCAACTAGAGGGTTTAGAAACTCTGAGCTTCTTGGAGTTGGAGGATTCAGGAAGGTCTACAAAGGTGTGTTGTCTTCTACAGGTGACCAAGTGGCTGTGAAGCGAGTCTCCCATGACTCAAAACAAGGGATAAGAGAATTTGTTGCAGAGATCTCTAGTATGAGAAGGCTAAGGCATAGAAACTTGGTACAGCTCCTAGGTTATTGTCGAAGAAAAGGGGAGCTTCTTTTGGTTTATGATTACATGCCTAACGGAAGCCTTGATGAATTCCTCTTTAACCAGGCTGAGAGATCAAATTTATGTTGGTCCTCAAGATTCAAGATCATTAAAGGGGTGGCATCTGCCCTTTTATATCTACATGAGGAGTGGGAACAAGTTGTCCTTCACCGTGATGTGAAGGCAAGTAATGTCCTATTAGATGCTGACATGAATGCAAGGTTGGGTGATTTTGGTCTTGCTAGACTTTACGATCATAACCTTGATCCTCGGACCACTCATGTTGGGGGAACCATCGGCTACATGGCCCCAGAGGTGAGTAAAACACTGAAACCTACCACAAACACCGATGTTTTTGCTTATGGAATGTTCTTGCTTGAGGTGAGTTGTGGGAGGAGGCCAGTTGGCAAGCACTTTCACTATGAGGTAGAGGAATTTCTCAGTGATTGGGTTTGTGATTGTTGGAAGAAGGGAGAAATTCTCAAGACTACTGATCCCAAAATGAAGGGGGACTATCAGGAAGAGGAAGTAGAACTGGTTTTGAAGTTAGGCCTTCTGTGTTTGAACCCTAAGCCAGAGGAAAGGCCTAGAATGAGGCAAGTAGTTCAATTTCTTAATGGGAGTGTAGCTTTGCCTGATATACCATCTGAATATGATATTCAAAGCCACAGTTTCTTTGGAGAGGGTTGGGTAGCATCAGGTTCATCAGAATTACCATTGCCATCATCGTCTGGTATTGTCTCTTTTGGTATCATGTCTAGCTCAAATTCAGTACTCCATTATGGCCGTTGAAGCAATGATTTGAGAGTGCAGTTAGAGTACTTAGTCAGATGTTATACCTTTTTCATAAATTAATGTGCTTGTAACACAGTATTTAGATCTGACGTGTAAGTGTAGTAAGATCATGTCTTATATATTATGAGATTTTATTTCAGTGGTAATCTTTCCTACATTATCTAGCCTTCTGAGCATACAGAGTTCTAGTTTTTTTTTTCACATCAGTAAACTATCTGCAGGCATGACACAAACTTTTTTGAATGCTCTATACCTGAGAATTTTAAGTCTCTATAACTTGCTCTGTTGCTCAAGGACCCTCTGAAGGGAAAGAAGCTATTTGATGTTAGAAAACCCCAGTATAATTGGCCTGGGCACAATACCACCTCCTATTAATGGGGTTTCTTTCCAATAACACCCTGGTATACTTGGGCTAAACCTTTTTAAAAAAGCTTTATATTTTAAACATAATGCGAAACAAGCATATTTTGTTATCTTGAATAGACTGATTGCAGTATAGTACTTAACTACATACATATTCACAATTTAATTGCTATCATAGGCTTATAGGCATATTAGCACAACTCTAGAGGCATCAGATGCAGCAGAAAACTGAACACACGATAAAGATTACAAAATAATTAAGTTAGATAAGTTTTGACATACCCTCCATTGTTTAACCAGCATTATGCGAAGACATTAGGCTTCCCAGTTATCTGAAACAGCATTGGCCTGGTAAAATAGTCTAGTTAAGTTTAGCAGTGGTAATCAGCATGGTAATTTAGGCACAGATTATTAAAAGCACTCCGACTAAATGATAACTAGCTTTTTCTCTGGATCCTGGTCATGATAAATGGTAATTAAGGGAAATAAGATTAATACTTTTTCAAAGAAAATGTGAAGATAAGGTTTTTATATGGAATTTAAGTAAGGTTATATGACGTACCATCCATCCATCAGATATAGTTATAAACTTCAGCCTTCATCGTATTACAGACTGCACTCGTATGCCCTGCTTTGACCGACAAACTTAATCAGACAACAGCAACCAGACACTTGTGACATAATACTTCATATTAGTACACTACTGAGATAGTATACTTACTATGTCATTACAATCAAGACAGAACAAAAACTAAACCACCTAATAAAATCATTTTATCAAAAAAATAAGTAAGAAAAATAACATTAAATAAAAAACAGCGAGAGAAGTGTTGTATAAGCCCAATCTAGTTATCTGAAGAAATATTTGGCGGATTCAGTGCTCCGGACTTCCGATCCTTTTTAGATCCTAGGATTCTAAAGAAATGGAGCTCATTTTGAGGCAAGTATTGCAAGTTTTGGATGACACTAACAATTCTCTACAAAAATCTGACAAGAGTCTTGTGAAACCATCAACTTCATTTCCAGCAACACCTAACTATGCATCAGCTTGTTCTGTTTCTAAAGCTGATATGATTCAACCCTTGTGCATGGTCTTTAAATCATAGGATGCGTAATTTCTTCATTTGTTACATGTCATACATATATAGTTCACCTAATGACCTATAAATCCAGCGAAAATACTTGTAATTAAAACAGCATGGTGATGTCAGCTTGTTCTATAATTTCTTGAATGAATATAATCTTGTGCCTAAATTATATATTTATTTATTTATTTTAGTGTTTCAGTTGAGATAGAAAACCTGCTCATGGCAAGAAGTAGAAGAAATGGACAGTTCAGTAAGTGACAACGAAAAAAAGGAAGTCAAACATTTGGGCTTTGATCAAAGTTTACACCGCTCAGCATTTCATATGCAGTCAACCAGTATACCACCTTGAATTTCTTACATAAGTATTGGTCTTTCTTAGAGTAGGTTAAATATCATTATCAAATAATTTTGGTATGAAGTACTCCGTATTAAACAAATTAACATACTAGTAGAAAATACTCTTCAATATGAAAACGACATTTTGCTGCCAAAGAAATTAAATACTAGTATGACTTTTCAAGCGACCAACTAGGACATATTGTATAACCCACATCTATTCATCCTAATATATACTGTACTTTGAGGTAGAAATCATACATTCTTGATGGAATCGCAACTATCCACTCAAATGCTTATATCTCCAATGCTTATTATTGTTCTTATATTATCTGTACATACCTTTGCTCAAGAGGATATGCAGTTCATCTACAATGGTTTCCAAGGATCCATCAATAAACTACATGTTGATGGAATCACGACTATCCACTCAAATGGTCTTCTTCAAATGACAAACCATTCGCAACAGCTTTCTTCCCATGCTTTCTATCCACATCCTGTAATCTTCAAACCAAGTCGTTTATCATTCTCTACCACTTTTGTTTTTGCAATGGTTCCTCAAGTTCATAATATTTCAGGCCATGGAATTGTTTTTGTTATTAGTCCTACCACAAATTTCCAACATACTCTCCCTTCTCAATACCTAGGACTCTTCAATAATTCCACCAATGGCCGTTCTTCTAATCATATAGTTGCTTTAGAATTAGACACTGTCCAAAATCTTGAATTCAAAGACATAGATAGCAACCATGTTGGAATTGATGTCAACAGCCTCAAATCTGTTGATGCTGCTTCAGCAGCATACTACTCTGACAAAGAAAGGTCAAACAAAATTCTGCTGCTAAATAGTGGAAAGCCAATGCAAATTTGGATAGACTATGATGAGGTTGAGATGTTACTGAATGTAACATTAGCTCCATTTAGAGATCCAAAGCCTAGCAAGTGTTTGCTGTCTAAGCACCTTAATCTTTCTGCCTTACTCCTTGATACTATGTATATTGGCTTCTCTTCTTCTACTGGTAGTGAGGCAGCAAGTAATCATTATATACTAGGGTGGAGCTGGAATCAAACTGGAAAAGCACAAAATTTAGACCCTGACAAGCTTCCACCACTTCCACAAAACAAACAGCAAAAATTACTCTTCAGAAATATTGTGTTTGTAGTTCTACTTATTGTGGTTATACTAGCGTTATTAGGGATTGCTGCAGCTCTTTGGTTCCTTTGGAGAAAGAAGTACAGAGAACTGCTTGAACCTTGGGAAAAGGAATATGCCCCTCATAGATACACATTCAAGGATCTTTATGTAGCAACTAAAGGTTTTAAAAACTCTGAACTTCTTGGAGTTGGTAATTTTGGAAAGGTCTACAAGGGTATTTTACCTTCTACAAGCCGCCAAGTTGCTGTGAAGCTAGTGTCCCATGATTCAAAACGAGGGATGAAAGAATTTGTTGAGGAGATTTCTAGTATGACAAGACTAAGGCATAGAAACTTGGTACAGCTCCTGAGTTACTGCAGAAGAAAAGGAGAGCTTATTTTGGTCTACGAGTATATGCCTAACGGGAGTCTTGACAAGATCCTATATGGAAAGGATAATAAATCAAAATTATCTTGGTCCACGAGATTCAACATCATTAAAGGAGTGGCCTCTGCCCTTTTATACCTTCACGAGGAATGGGAACAAGTTCTCCTTCATCGAGATGTGAAGGCAAGTAATATCCTGTTAGATGCTGAGATGAACGCAAGGTTGGGTGATTTTGGCCTGGCCAGACTCTATGATCATAACAATGATCCTCGAACCACTTATGTGGTGGGAACTGTTGGATACATTGCACCTGAAGTCACTAGAACGCAACAACCAACCACCAGCACTGATGTTTTTTCTTTTGGAATGTTTCTTCTTGAGGTGGGTTGTGGGAAGAGGCCAATTGGCAAGCAGTCTGATAATGATGATGAAGATTTTTTCCTCGGTGACTGGGTTTATGATTGTTGGAAAAGGGGAGAAATTCTTACAGCAAGTGATCCTACAATGGAAGATGATTATCAGGAAAAGAAATTGGAGCTAGTATTGAAGTTAGGCCTTCTCTGTTTGCATCCTAAGGCAAAAGAAAGGCCTACAATGAGGCAGATAGTGCAGTTTTTTAATGGAAGTACAACTTTGCCTGAAATACCATCTGATTACGACATCGATAGCTGTATTTTCTTTGAAGAGGGTTGAGGCAAAGCAGCTTCATTACCATCACTATCTGGAACTCTCTCTCTCTCTCTCTCTCAGTTTCCTGTCTCGCATAAATTCAGTCCTTCGATATGTCGTCGTTGAATCACAAATTTCCAGACGGCTAACTGTTAGAGTACCAGTTCAAATATTAGGCCTCTCCTTTTTTTTTGGTGAAAAAGGATTTCATTCAACAATATAAAAGCATTACAGAGTCTGCTACATACTACGAGTACTACATTACTTGTAGTCTACCTTTATAATAAACTGGTATGTTTGTAAGCCAGTATGTAAATCTAATGTAGTAATGTGCAATGTAAGAATGTTGGATTATATTATATTATGTGCTATATATTTTATCATAGACTACATTGAACTCCTTTCGTTCAAAATTAGTTGTTACATTCTCTTAACCGGGAATACTTAAATGATTTTCTTATCACTTGATGTGTGTACCCCTAGTACATACCTAACCTTTCTCCTTCATCCATAGTCCCCACTTCCCATGCCTTTTCTCAATTCATATTCACATTTTTTTTCTATCCGTTGAACGCGTCCAATATGGCGTTCTCGCATATAATAATAGTACTACCAAACTGGTCATACTACTGTGTTATTTTGCTTTATTACGTCTCTACGACAATTACTTTGATCAGGGCTTCCACGTCTTACACCCATAAATGCTTTCCTAACACTTTTAAATTTCAATCTTACTCCTCTAATAAGGTATTGTTCATCGGTCAGCTCAATTCGCAATAATGAGCTTGGTTATTTTTTCTCTTATAATACGATTAGCTGTATATGTATTTAGTCAAAATGAAACACATTTCATCTACAATGGTTTCAAAGGATCTATTAGTAAAATTCATGTTGATGAGGTAGATATGATTGTTAATGTGAAATTAGCTCCACTCGGTCACCCTGTGCCTAGAAAGCTTCTATTTTCTAAGCACTTCAACCTTTCCACCTTTCGCCTTGATTCTATGTATGTTGGCTTCTCTTCTTCTACTAGTGTGGTCGCTGAGAGTCATAACACATTAGGGTGGAGTTTGAATCAAAGTGAGAAAGCACAAGATTTAGATCCTTCCTTGCTTCCATCACTTCCACGAATCAAACATCGAAAGCTTGGTTTTTTATATGAGGATAGAAAGCTAAACATAGACCGGCTGATATTTGTACTTTTGCTAAGTGTAATTTGCATATTACTGCTATTGATTGCTGGTGCAGTTTGGTTTGTATGGAGGAAAAAGTACGACGAGTCTCTTGAAACATGGGAAAAAGAATATGGCCCACATAGATTTCCATACAAAGATCTTTATGTTGCAACAAAAGGTTTTAAAAATTCTGAGCTTCTTGGAGGTGGTGGTTTTGGGAAGGTTTACAAGGGTGTATTACCTTCTGTAACTATAACTCAACAAGTCGCTGTGAAACAAATCTCCCACAACTCGAAACAAGGGATGAAAGAATTTATCGCGGAGATCTCCAGCATGAGAAGGCTAGCGCATAAAAACTTGGTGCCACTCCTAGGCTATTCTAGAAGAAAAAGGGAGCTTCTCTTGGTATATGAGTATATGCCTAACGGGAGCCTAGACAAGTTCCTCTTTGTCAAGGATGATAAGTCAAAATTATGCTGGTCCTTGAGATTTAACATCATTAAAGGGGTGGCCTCTGCTCTTCTATACCTTCATGAGGAGTGGGAACTAGTTGTCCTTCACAGAGATGTTAAGGCAAGTAATGTCCTGTTAGATGCTGAAATGAACGCAAGGTTGGGTGATTTTGGCCTTGCCAAACTGTACAATCATAGCATTGGCCCTCAGACAACCCGTCTAGTGGGAACCATCGGATATATTGCACCAGAGGTTAGTAGAACAAGAAAACCTACCACTAGCTCTGATGTGTTTTCTTTTGGAATGTTCTTACTTGAGGTGGGCTGTGGAAGGAAGCCAACAGGCAAGCAAGATGATGATGACGATGCAAAGGCTCTATTTCTCAGTGATTGGGTTTATGAATGTTGGAAAAGGGGAGAAATTCTCAAAGCAAGTGATCCTAAGATGAAAGGAGATTATCAGGAAAAGGAGATGGAGCTGGTCTTGAAGTTAGGCCTTCTTTGTTTGTATCCTAAGGCAGAAGCAAGGCCTAAAATGAGGCAAGTAGTTGAGTTTCTTAATGGGAGTGAAACTTTGCCTGATATACCATCTGAATACAGCCCTGATATTAACGATTTTTATGGAGATGACTTGGGAACATTGCGTTTATTACCATCAGGAACTAGCTGTCCCGGTGTCATGTCTAGCACAAATTCTGTTCTCCAATATGGTCGTTGATTTAGTGATTTAGTCATTGACTCCAGAGTGCTACTTTGTTTGTTTGTTTGTTTTTTTTTTTTTTTTTTTTTTTTAAGTTTGCATTTTTCAAGGGTGCAAGCCACTCGAAAGCTTGGACTGGCCTATAAAATTATAGTTCTATGTTCCTGAAAAATTAGTCATATTAATCTTCTTGTTAGGTTAATTATACCATATATCTGTCCAGCTCCGCTTGTTCGTAGCATATTCAGAGCCCTGATCCTTCTAAGCATGCAGAGTCTTAAAACATGGTCTTACTGTAAGCTAACCTTACAGAGTCATGTGAAAGATAGTAGTACTTTCACCCTCACCTTACTATGCATCTGTCTATTTAGTTTCTAGTACTAATTCAATTCTCGCGCATAGTTTTCCTAACGACCACTCCTATCAGACATATTTGTAATTAAACAGCATAATGCAAAGGCAGGCACAAACATGAGTACAACAAATGACAGCCAAATCATCTAGGAAACATCTGTAACTATATAACAGGTAATTAAGGGAAATAAGAGTGATATAGATTAGTGGAAAATATGTGAAAGCGTATTAAAAGATAAGGTTCTATGCCGTACCATTTACCAGACATTTCTTTAATCTCCAGTGTTCATTGTATCACAGACTACTGCACCCCATACACCCTGCATTAACCGGAAATCTGAATCAGACTTTTAAGACAGCAACGCCAGACTTAGGACAAGACTCTTCACTTTAGTACATAACTGAACTAGTATAGTTAATATGGCAGTAAATGCATACAGAAGGGAACAAAAATCAACTACCTTAGAAAAATCAACTATAGTGAGAGTAAGAGTTGTGTGTGCCCATCTAGAAAAGGGCAATTGATAAAATAGAAGCATTACAATTTGTTTGAATTGAACCAAACGAGAAGAGAATGAATATTACGCGCATAATTTCCATTCATCTAAATTACTTATATACTTATATACTCAGGGACGCACTAATAAACAAGATGCCCTTCCTTACAGGGTAAGCCAAGTTGATAAAGAACTCAAGAAGTGATGTATCATTTATTTAACACCTTGTACTGTAATTAAGGCAGATGATTTCACCTTGTAATAAAGCATCCTGTGTTCTTGTTGTACGCACTGACAGTTTTATGGCTCTAATGGCCATTTCTCTTCAGTATCTCCTCCACATATCAACGATTTTTCTTATATCGGGTGCACTGACCCTTGCTCAAGATGAAACACAGTTCACCTACAATGGTTTCAGAGGATCCATTAACAAACTTCATGTTGATGGACTTGCAACTATCCTCCCAAATGGCCTTCTCCAAATGACAAACTACTCAATGCGCAATACTTCCCATGCTTTCTATCCACATCCCGTGATCTTCAAACCAAAGCATCTATCATTCTCCACCACTTTTGCTTTCGCAATGTATCCTCAAGTACCAAACCATTCTGGCCATGGAATTGTTTTTGTTATTAGCCCATCCACAAATTTCAAACATGCTCTCTCATCCATATATCTAGGACTCGTCAATACTACCAGCGACGGCCTATCTTCAAACCATATATTTGCTGTAGAGCTAGACACCATCCAAACAAGAGAGTTTGGAGACATTGATGATAGCCATGTTGGAATTGATGTTAACAGCCTGCGCTCCATTGATGCTGCTTCATCATCTTACTATTCAGATAAAGAAGGGGTAAATAAAACCCTGTTGCTAAATAGTGGCAAACCGATGCAAATTTGGATAGAATATGACGAGGCACAGATGTTAGCTAATGTAACATTAGCTCCTCTTGGTCATCCAAAGCCTAGCAAGTGCCTGTTGTCTAAGCACATCGATCTTTCTACAATACTCCTTGATTCTATGTATGTCGGTTTCTCATCTTCTACTGGCAAGGTCTCAAACAGTCATTATATACTAGGATGGAGCTGGAGTCAAAGTGGGAAAGCGAAAGATCTAGACCTTTCTAAGCTCCCATCACTCCCACGAATCAAACATAAAAAATTAAGCTCAAACAAGCTAGTTTTTGTACTTCTTCTCAGTGTAGTTTTACTGTTGCTTTTAGTGATCGCAGGAGTATTTTGGTTCACATGGAGGAAGAAGTATGAAGAGTTGCATGAATCTTGGGAAAAAGAATATGCCCCACATAGATTATCATATAAGGATCTCTTTGTAGCAACAAAGGGATTTAAAGAGTCCGAGCTTCTTGGAGTTGGAGGTTTTGGGAAGGTCTACAAGGGCGTGTTGCCTTCTACAGGTGCCCAAGTTGCTGTGAAACAAATCTCTCATGATTCAAATCAAGGGATGAAAGAATTTGTAGCGGAGATCTCTTGCATGAGAAGGCTAAGGCATAGAAACTTGGTACAGCTCCTAGGATATTGCAGAAGAAAAGGAGAGCTTCTTTTGGTCTATGATTACATGCCTAATGGCAGCCTTGATAAACTCCTGTTTGACAAGTTTGAGAAATCAAATTTGTGTTGGTCCTCAAGGTTTAATATCATTAAAGGTGTGGCATCTGCCCTTTTATACCTTCATGAGGAGTGGGAACAAGTTGTCCTTCACCGAGATGTTAAGGCAAGTAATGTCCTGTTAGATGCTGAAATGAATGCCAGGTTGGGTGATTTTGGCCTTGCCAAGCTTTACGATCATAGCATTGATCCTCGGACAACCCATGTGGTGGGAACTATTGGATATATTGCACCAGAGATTAGTACAACACGGAAACCTACCACTAGCACCGATGTTTTTTCTTTTGGAATGTTCTTGCTCGAGGTGGGTTGTGGTAGGAGGCCTACTGGCAAGCAAGATGGAGAGGAAGGTGCAGAGGCTCTGTTTCTCAGTGATTGGGTGTATAATTGCTGGAAAAGGGGAGAAATTCTCAAGGCAAGTGATCCAAGGATGGAAGGAGATTATGTGGAATACGAAATGGAACTTATCTTGAAATTAGGCCTTCTTTGTTTAAATCCGATAGCAGAAGGAAGGCCAACAATGCAGCAAGTAGTTCAGATTCTTACTGGCAATGCATCATTGCCTGATTTGCCATCTGAATACAACCCTGAAACCAGTCCTTTTTGGGGAGGACTCTGCAACATTGATTCAATGCCCTCATCGTTTCCATCGTCGTCTGGAACTAGCTCTCTTGGTGTCATGTCTAGCATAAATTCAGTCCTCCACTATGGTCGTTAAATTTTTCATAGACTCCATAGTCCTGATAAAGTACTATGTTAGGCTGTTAGCTAAATGTAATTGCCTACGTTGTTGACAATCTTATTCCCTGTAAGTTATAACCTCGTATGTTGAGTTCATGTGTAATGAAAATGTGTTGCTTCAGTGGGGTAGTTGCTCATAAGTAAGTTAAATATTTAAAGGGTTAAGGTAATAGTAAATTTAGCCATTTAAGCCTAGGTTAGCCACTTCAGTAATATATAGCATACACTAATGAAATAGCCAAAAAAAAAAACAAAAAAAAAAAAAGTGAAATCTGTAAAAAAAATACAAGGTCATCATGTAGAATTTTCCAAAAGTAAATAAAGAGGTATGCGGCAATCTTAGTGGGATAGAGGGGTTAAGGCGTAGTAGTAGCCGCAGCAGTAGTAGTATGCAGTTCACGTAATTTTAAATGTTAGATTCAAGTATATACAGCTCATATACGACAATTATATGACTTCAACTTTCCAACTTCCAAGCAATGACTTTTCAAGCGGCGACAAAACCGACTTCTTTCACTTGACTCCAAACAGCATGAGACATCATTTATCACTCAAGACACTCACCTCTATCCATCCTAATCTTCTGTGACCAAGAATTCAGAGTTGCAGACATTTAGTGTAAAAGGAAAAAAGAAAAAAGAAAGACTAAGGTACCCTAGTTAGTAACAATGATCCATATATCTGTTCTTCTAATATTAGTTGTACATGCCATTGCTCAAGATGAAACACAGTTCACCTACAATGGTTTCCAAGGAGCCACCAATAAACTTCATGTTGATGGAATCGCGACTATCCTTCCAAATGGTCTTCTCCAATTGACAAACTACTCAAGTTACAATACTTCCCATGCTTTCTATCCACGCCCCGTGATCTTTAAACCAAATCACATATCATTCTCTACCACTTTTATTTTTGCTATATATCCAATAGCTCCAAATCAATCCAGCCATGGAATTGTTTTTGTTATCAGTCCAACTACACATTTCCAACAGGCTCTCCCTTCCGCGTACTTGGGACTCTTTAATACTTCCTCCAACAGGCTGCCTTCAAACCATATAATTGCGGTAGAATTAGACACCATCCAAAATCCTGAGTTCAAAGATATCGATAGTAACCATGTAGGGATTGATGTGAATAGCCTCACATCAAGCGCGGCTGCTACAGCCGCTTACTATTCTGACAAATTAAGGGTGAACAAAACCCTGCAGCTAAATAGTGGGAAACCAATGCAGATTTGGATAGACTATGATGAGGTTGAGATGTTATTGAATGTAACACTAGCTCCATTTAGTTCACCAAAGCCTAGCAAGTGTTTATTGTCTAAACAGCTCAATCTTTCTACCATACTACTTCGTAACATGTATGTTGGTTTCAGTTCTGCTACTGGACCTATACCAAACTATCATTACATACTGGGATGGAGCTGGAATCAGAGCGGGAAAGCACAAGATTTAGACCCTTCCAAGCTACCATCGCTTCCACAAATTAAACACCATAAGAAAAGCTTAAGCCAGCTTATAATAGTTCTACTTATTGTAATTTCACTATTGTTATTATCAATGATTGCTGCAGCTATTTGGTTTGTTTGGAAGAAGAAGTATGAAGAATTGCTTGAACCATGGGAAAAAGAATATGCTCCTTATAGATACTCATTCAAGGAACTTTACTTAGCAACAAAAGGATTTAAAAACTCCGAGCTTCTTGGAGTCGGTGGTTTTGGAAAGGTCTACAAGGGTATAATACCTTCTACAAGTCGCCAAGTTGCTGTGAAACGGGTCTCCCAAGATTCAAAGCAAGGGATAAAAGAATTTGTTGCAGAAATCTCTAGTATGGGAAGGCTAAGGCATAGAAACTTGGTACAGCTCTTAGGGTATTGCAGAAGAAAAGGGGAGCTTCTTTTGGTCTATGATTACATGCCTAACGGGAGCCTTGATAAGCTCCTTTTTGACAAGGTTGAGGGATCAATTTTGTGTTGGTCCATAAGATTTAAGATCATTAAAGGGGTGGCATCTGCCCTTTTATACCTTCATGAGGAGTGGGAACAAGTTGTACTTCACCGAGATGTAAAGGCAAGTAATGTCCTGTTAGATGCTGAGATGAATGCGAGGTTGGGTGATTTCGGCCTAGCCAAGCTTTACGATCACAGCATTGATCCTCGGACAACCCATGTGGTGGGAACCATCGGATATATTGCACCAGAGTTAAGTAGAACACGAAAACCTACAACTAGTACCGATGTTTTTTCTTATGGAATGTTCTTGCTTGAAGTGGGTTGTGGAAGGAGGCCAATTGGCAAGCAAAATGAAGATAATGATGCAGAGGCTCTGTTTCTCAGTGATTGGGTTTATGATTGTTGGAAAATGGGAGATATTCTCAAGGCAAGTGATCCAAGAATGGAAGGAGATTACGTGGAAGACGAAATGGAGCTTATCTTAAAATTAGGCCTCCTTTGTTTGTATCCAATAGCAGAAGGGAGGCCAACAATGCGGCAAGTAGTGCAGATACTTAATGGCAGTGCAACATTGCCTGAGTTGCCATCTGAATACAACCCTGAAACCATCGGTTTCCTTGGGGAGGACTTGGGAACATTGCATTCACTGCCATCATCGTTCCTGTCGTCATCTGGAACAAGCTCTGTTGCTGTCATGTCTAGCACAAATTCAGTCCTCCGATATGGTCGTTAAACTTTTCATAAATTCCTTAGGTTAGGTAGTTAGCTAATGCTGAGAGTTTAGGTTCAGTGCTTTCAGTGTATAAACTGGTGACTAGCAATACAGATGCAAATCAAATGTGTAATGAAAATATGTTGGGTCATGTCTTATTGTGTGCTAATTTCTTCAGACAAAGGTTTTACCCATACACGCTATCTTTATTTTCCTGCATGAAACAGCAATTCTGAAAACTCAGAGTCATAGTCATCTTAGTTAACTCTGAAACTTTTCAAGTACCAAAGAACACGAAGAATTAATCACTTTATACGTGAAAGAAGCTGTATGATGTAAGGAAACCCTGGTATATTTCAAGATTTTTATTAACGTTGGATGTTTTTAACCTGAAGTTAACCCAGAAGCCTTGGAATCTTACACTACTTAATCAGACAGCAGGCTCTCCTACACTCTGAACTTACCCTTGGCTGACTATAATGATTAGGTGTATAAGTTATAGTGAGATCGTTTCGATGAGAAGGTCTTCCATTATTTGCATATTTCATGAAATTGGCAAGAGCAGATTAAGAATCTTCCTGACATAATGAGGAAATATATTGCTGAATAGAGTTTAAGTACCTGGTCTTAGACTCTTGCAAAACTATAAACTGACTTCAGTTGATCAGCTTTCCGAAATAAGAAGCCCTCTCCCAGTGTGCAAAATAAAGAAAGAAAAATTGTGCTCCCATCTTCTTGTACTGCCACAAAATGACTAGTAAAAAAAGAAATTGTTTTACAAAGCTTATTTATTAATAGTACATGAGATATATGAATTTGCATTTACAATTAACATGGAAGGAATAAATATTTTCTTATCATGTAGCATCCGAGCCAAATCTCATTCTGATAATTTTGCCTCGATTTCTTCCAGACTTAAGCCCTTGGTCTCCGGAACTAACGTCAATATAAATACAAGAGACAGCAAAGCAATAGCTCCAAATAAGAGGAATAGGTTATCAGCTCCAAGCAACTCCTGCAGATTGCAGAACAGATCTTAGCACAGAATTTTGCAGACTAGCCAAGGAAGCAATCAAATAAGGAGTCCCTTAATACCAAGAAAAGCATGAATTAAAATATACCTTCAAAGGTGAAAAGGCAAAGGTCACAAGAGCATTTGAACCAAAGTTTGTTAAAACAGCAAGACTGATTCCTCGTCCTCTTGTGCGAACAGGGAATATCTCTGACACCATTAGCCAACTGATTGGACCAAATGATATCTGAAAAATTGATTCAGGACAAAATCAATGTAAGTGGAAATCCAGAAGGTGTAATGAAAAAGAACTGTTTCTCGATCATTGGTTCCAGACTTCCAGTTATATTATTCAGACTAGCCTTTCAGAAACTAAAATTATTTTTGAAGGTGATCGGATACAACACTTTGCTAACGAATCAAAAAATGTTTAGAAGCTACAAGAGGAATAACATTGCAAAACAATTTATAAAATCAGAAATACAGAGTAATGGACTGTGAACTTCTCTGAAAATAAGATTAAAATTTTGGTTTTAGAAATTTACTTGATAACTACCGACATATAGCAGCAAAGCAGCTACAGCGACAAAAGGGAGGCCTCCAAGAAACTTGTAATATGCAGCAAGGAGGAACAAGGACACAGCCTGTAAAATAGCTCATGAAAGAGTTCAAACACCAAATGAGCATCTCTTCCCCACATTAAAAGGTTAAAGAATAAAATCTTGTTTTAGGGTTTTAGGGAACAGAAGGTGAAGTATACATACAATCCCACTAACACCTCCTATGAGCAAGGGTTTCCTTCCAAGATCATCAACCTTAAGAACAGCTACTCCAGTCATAACAAACTGCAGGAAGGAAATGAGAGATGAGCTCCATACGCGACTCCACTGTATACAAACAACAGATTGTTGCTCCATGCTAAAGTAAAAGGGAATCAAGTATACCTTGAATAGGCCAATCAACACTGAAACTCGAGTGGCATCGGATGCAACAGAAAACCCAGCACTCTATTTCACAGTCAAGGAAAAATAAGTCAATTAAGCATTCCGTCTGTTTTCTGTATTAGAAACAGAAAATTGAAAACTGGATAAGCTTCGCCTTACCTGTAGGATTTGACCAGCATAATACAAAACACTAGGCTGCCCGGTTATCTGAAGACAATCATAGTGGTTAGTAAAGGAGTCCAAATATTTTCTATAAACAGATTTTGATGCAGCTTTTTAGGCACAATGAGTACAAAGAAAAGAAAGCATGATCCATGTACTGAGAATACATGCCCACCAAATTTTCTCCAAAACCCCCAATTTGATCAGTAAAATACCAATTTCACCACCTATATGGGCCATATTTATCCAAAAAAATGCCACGGCACAGAGTTCACTCCCTGTGCATGGTGTATCATCCGTTCAAAGAATGAAAATCACCTGCTGAAAAAGTACGAGACCTCCACCAATGATGAAAGCTTTCAGATTAGGCCCTTGAAACACCTCTAAAAAGCTTCCCTCTTCCTGATCTTGGTAAGAAGACTTCATTGAAACTAGCATATCTTCAATTTTCTTTTCAGACACTTTATCCCCTGCGGATCTGCCTCGTAGTTTGCTCAGAGCAGTAATAGCCCGCTCCTTGTACTCCTGCAAAGATCCTTGACCTTTAACACCCCTAAGAAGCAACCAGCGAGGTGAAGGAGGCAGACTTAACATCCCAAGACCCATAACTGCAGCAACCGGAAGACTCAATCCAAACATGTAACGCCAGCCTCCAACCACATCAATATTAAAGTTACCAACAAAGTAACCCAACTGAACAAATGCAAATGAGCTACAAGTTAAGTCAAACATTAGGTAAAAGAAGGGAAAGGAGGGGAGGGGAGGGATGGGGAGAGATAAATTAATCGTAGAAGTAAGATACCAAAATGCCGAGAACTATGAAAAGCTCTTTCAATGAAATCAAGGTTCCTCGAATCTGAGAAGGACAAGTTTCTGCAATGTATAGAGGGGCCCCATGCATAGCCTACAATAGACCAACTTCAGCATACGCACAATTACAATACTAGGAAGTTAATTCACTCAATATCAAAACCATTAATCACTAGGATGCTCACCCAACCAATGCCAAGGCCATAAAGAAGCCTCCCAATCAAAAGAGTATTAAGACTAGGAGCAAATGCGGTGGTAAGGCCACCAATAGCATAGAGAGTTGCAGCGATGAGAAGTTCTCGCTTCCTTCCTTCAAGATTTAGAAGATACAAATATCTCTTAAAATTTGTTAATCCCAAATCCATCAAAAGTACATCACAAACAAATCAACATAACACGCTAGCTAGAGTCATACCAAGGAAATCAGCTATTGGATAGACGATAATAGAACCAAAAAGAGCTCCATACAGTGAACCACTCACCTGCATTACAGGAAAACATATCGGAAAGAAGTCAACTAATATCAACTCTATGTCAAATCAAGGCATGATTAGTACAAAAGCTTACCACCAAACCCTGTTGAACTGCTGAAAGATTGAACCATGCTGTACCACTAAGCTCAGGAGACTGCATTTACAGTAAATTACTAATTACATTTATCTATATTTCTATAAAAAAATATCACCAAAATCAGAAGTATACCTGTAGTGATATTGTAGCACCAGAAGTAGCACCAATATCATACCCGAATAGTAAACCACCTAGTGCAGGGAATAGAAACCTGGAAGTAAATTAACAGCAAAATCTGTTAAAAGTTCTAATCTGGGCACAAATTTGTAATTAGCATTTACTAATTTGGGGCCAATTTAAACAGATTGATGTGCCTCAATTCTTAAACTTGACCAATTTAGTAATCAAGACCATTAATTGACCCAAAATATGAAAATAAACGTATTCAAAATTAATAAATTACATTATAAAACAAACCCATCAAAATTCAGAACTATAATTTCATACCCAGCAAGAAAAAATTCAAAACAATACAAACTTAAAAAAATATTATTGTTCAATTGCCAGAATACTGTGAAAAATGACTCAATATATGACAAATTAAACTCAATTTAAACTACATTATACAATAAACCTATCAAATTTCAGTACTTCAAGTTCAAACCCTGCTAGAAAAAAACCCATTTAAGAGAATGATTGAAGAGGGAAAAACTCACGGTAAAATTACAGAGGACCATGCAAAGACTTCTGGTTCAACAACATCATGCTCAACAGGGTAATCCTCTTTCTTCTGGGAATTTACCTTATTGAGTAATAATGAAGTTTCAAGACTGTAAATTGAAGGATTTTCCATGATAAAATTTCTTCTTCTTCCACTGAATTGCAGTTTAGGGAAGAGTTTTGTTGAAGAAGATGATGCATGAGAATTAATGTGGGACCAAGAGGAGATAGAAAATGGTTTCTTGAATTCACGAATTTTGAGGTGGGGGTGGTGGATGACCCAGGCACTGGTGACTGACGCCATTTTTTAAGAAGCAAAAACAATTGATCATAGCCTAACTACCACCCACCCAAATATAAAGTTTATTATATATTTATATCTTAAACTGTAATAATGTGTGGGATGATTAGAAACATGGTTGTGTTATGTCAATTATGTGTATAAATATCAGCTGCGGCCAGCGAGCGTAGTGACAACAATATGTCATGATGTAAACGGAATTTGAGCTAAGTTCATTTCATGCGATCTGATTTGATCACATTATTAAACTTGTATTAATATGTTCTTTTCAAATACGGAAGTATGAAAACATAATTATTTACGAAATTAAAGATTTTTAACAGTATAAACACAAATAAAAAGATTTGATTTAAGTATTTCTAAAATAAGCCAATATCAATTTGTGTTTGAATTTTGTAGATATACATATACAAGTATATTGAATTATTGATAGACTAGTAGAATTAACTTGCAAGAAAGTGTTAATAAGGTTTGTGATACAAGAAGATTGTTACCTAGTAAATTTGAGTAAACATTTTATTACCATCAATTGCTGAATCTCACACTGTCACAATACTTTCCTTCTTCTCTCATCTAAATTCCAGCAGACGACTAATTGTGTTTTTTTACCTTGTAAACTCGTAATTTTTATCCATTCACACTTTGAAATAAACACAACTTAAAAGTCATAAAAACATCCTGACAGGCCAACTCCAATTGAATGATTTCACTCAACACCACCCTCCTCAACATGCTCAAATCACGGTGTACAATAGCATAACACACAAAATGGCGACCTTCCATCATACTCCCGTATATGCGTTACCTAGAGTTTAGAGCAAATCTAGGAGACAGTAGAATTCTGAGGCGTGTAATCAGTAATACTGGTACTTGCACTTCATGGATGAACGCTTCAAGTCTTCATTGAATGGCATTCTTACATATTTTCAAAATAACAAAAATCATACTATTGCATAGTGTCCATCAACAACATTAGAAAACACCAGTATACTAAACCACAGATTATAATTGCGTCATAGTAAGACTGACAACATGATGTTTAACCCTAATCTACACAATCATGGTGCTAAAAAAGACACAGAGCTAGGGAAAATGCAATCTCTAGAAGATGATCCAAATGTCCGAAGTGTACAGAACTAATGGAATCACATATTCCATTTAAGAAATGATGATAATCTGATTTAGCCATCCGCATTTAAGGCCAAAGGGCTCTTGCATTATATACAACTGGCCAACCACTTTTATCCCACCTCTAACAGCATATACTGATTCCATTCTTAACCCTCGAAAGATCTAGCTAACGAAACCAGGACAAGACAAGAGATGCTGAGTGGCAACTCGGATAACTTCCCTCTAAGAGCCACTGAACTTCCCAAAACGACTTTGTCCTCTCAAAATTAGAAATCAAATTCTCCTGAAGCCTGCCAGAAAAAAGACCACATGTAAGAAAATAAGAAAGATGTCCGGCTTCCACAGGTGAACTGGTAGCAAAGCGCACTGACCTTGTTGAACAAAATGTCCTTGTTGTTTATATGCATTATGCCATCCTTAAGGGTGCACTTCCAACGGCTCTTGGTACGTGTCACCTGAACAATACGATAATAAAAATTCAATTAAATACTTGGTAGAAACAGTATTTTAAACTACAAGAAACACAGGGTACATATACAACTAATACTTCATATTTTGTACTCCGTAACTAGGAAGCATTAGCATACCTTATCAAACTGAGCCAGAACCAAATGCTGTGTGTTAAGCTCTTCTCCTTGGTCGATGTCATCTAAATCATCATCATCATTCTCATTCAAAGGTGGTTCGTCATCACCGTTTTCATCAAGATCATTCTGGGCAGGGGGAGCAGGGGTACTAGCTTGCAGGTCTAAGCAAATTTGAGACAAACATGGACAACATGAGAGAGAGACCTTATGCCATGCTAAACCAATATGTCAAGATATAGCGGAAATTTAGAAGCATACCAGGAGCTGGAGTGTTCACCACATTGTAGTCTTCATTGACGGGTTGATAATTGTATATCTACAAGGTAAAATGCAAATAATGTTCAGGTCGCATAAGTGCCCTTGCATTCAATACTGATCCATTCACAACACTATCAAGCTCGTGAAAAGAGAACCACAACTTTACAGAGTAATACTTACGTATCAAAGAGAGTTTGAGGTCTGGAACTTTTCAGATTCAGACACAGTTTTAGCTCCAAATTAACAAATACATTGAAGAAATATCCAAACAAGACGAATGACAAAACTTGAAACTGGAGCAACACATAAAGATTGAAGCTTGAACTCCAGATATTTTACCACAGCTCGTTAAATTTCATGCCCATTTTTATAGCTAGTACAGAGCATTAATTTTCAAGCCTCAACACAGGATCCACTTTCATACACGTGAACTTTTTCTTTTGTCATTTTCATTTTCCAAACCTGACACTAAGCTAGATTGAACCTCTGAATATAAAAAGTTTCAAGCCATTTTATTTCTGCCCTGAGATAAACTAAGAACCAAAAATATTGCACCCCTGATCTAGACAACATTCACTCATTGATATGACAAATCATGAACAAAGCATTTGGACAAGCAACAGCATCCCAAAATTGCTGGAAAAAAGACATAAAACTAAGGCGGCAGTATTATTTGATGAACTTAAGAACAACAGGATAAAAATCTCTACCTGTTTTCAGTCAATAATACATCAGAAAGAATGCAAGTTTATCCGTATATTTAAATATTCTGAATTTTGGGAAAGATTAGAATTCGATTTTTTTTAAATCATAAACCTTTTGTTTGGACTATGACCAACTCATTTGAAGCCATAAACATACCAAACCAATTTTTACTCTAAAAAAACATACAAAACCAATAATCTCCACACACATAATTTTCAATTCTAAAGAAGTAATTTGCATGCCCCTTCTTATCCAAACAAAGTATTATTCGAGCATAATCTCATTTCTTGAACAGAAACAAGTGATTGCCAATTAAATGAGTTCTGCACTAATATCATTACTATGGTAAGTAGCATTGGGATGGAGTGGCATCCCAATCATTAATACACTGAACTGCCACTCCCCAATTTTCATAAACCCCACCTTGTTTGGCACAAGCTTGGTCAAGAAAGACATCTTAAACAGACTTTTTATTAAACAGTTACTCCATCAGAACACGGCATCCCTCTTCTTATACAACAAGGGCAGTCTTTTTATTATATAGTTACTCCAACAGAACACACAACGTAAAACGACCAAAATCAAATGAACATTTGGTTCAGCAAACACAAATTACTGCTAAAATATAATTGGGATTTAAAGAAAATAGAACAAGCTTACAACCATAGTATTAGAGAGAAAATTTTACATTGGGTGTGGAAAGCATGTCTTCATAAGGATCAGGAATTGGTCCATCTAGTTGGGGAATCCTAGAAGAGGATTCTTTCTGCTGCGCCGGTGTGACTTTTACAGCGCCACTTCTTCCAGAGGACTTGCTCTGAATGATCTGATACAAGATCACAATAATTATAAATCCACTAAATCCTCAGTGACGATATTAAAACATATCAGCATCTTTATAGATGTGACAGATTCGGATAAAAAGAAATCTGGCTAAGAAGACTAGGTCCATTAGCCAAAAGTAGATAAAGTTTTTCTTAAAGATCAACCTGAAATTAAACCCCCTCAGAGAAAGAGAATGTGCAATAATGATATAACTTATCAAGCAATGTTCAGAATTTTGTAAGCCAGCAAATACAACGACCGATGAATGATACAAACTACAAAGCCTTCAATATATTTCCTCAAATATGAATACGTACTTTTACAAAAATAAAAAACTGGTATACTGGCAGAACTAGATGCAAATACCATGGATAGAAGTGTCAATATATACAACACAACAAAACTAATACACAATGGGCAAGTGCTAGGGGGATGTGCATGCAGTGTAACACATCAGTTAAAGACAATATATGCTATCAGGAACTGGGAAAAAAAAAAAAAATACAATCTAATTTAACCAAGACAGTTCAAGAAGACAATCAGCATATTCTTCTAACAAACATTGTATAGAGAAACCGCTAGAAGGTGTAACACCAAAATAGTGACGTTCGTCCTCATCGCATGCCTACATTCTGCAGTAACAAATATGAATACTAAACCAAAGCTTTTGTGTGTGCTATTAGTTGAGAAATCTCCAGTATTTTCCTTGTGACTTGTAAGTAATCAAGAGTCAGAAGAAACATTTTTCTAATAGAGCACTGCATAGAAGTCCAGAAAAAATAACATCCCAACTTTTTCCTTTCCAAACTACCATACGCATTCGCTTGGCCATTTACAAACACCCCTCCTCTCCCCCCCCCCCCCCCCCCCCCCCCCCCCTCCTCACAAGACACACACAAATCAAAAGCATAGAATTGTATGATGAATACTAAAGAAAAGAAAAACACATGCAAAAGGTAGGGGTTAATATTTGGAAGGTGAAAACCTAGCTGTCTACAGTGCTTGGATTCAGATATGGGTGTCTGACTCGGTATACATTTGCATGCACAGACATGAAAATTGTAATTGTAAACTACAGGGACATCAGCAATCAAATTAAAATCTAGACAGAGGTATACTAACAATTAAAAATTTGACTCTATATATACTTTGATATCAAAAATCAATCTATAATCTTTAACAGTATCAATCATCTCACGAAAATAATGATAATTTCTTTTTAACTAAAAAGAGAAGTAAAAACACATGAAAAGAAAAGAGGAAAGGGGAAAATATTGAACTAAAATATGTGTTGAGCTGTCGATCTCTCTCCACTAAAGTACAGACCCCAGTCTGACAGTCAGTCATATTTTTAAAAATGAACTGAGCTACCATCACACTAAAGACTACCTCTGAGTACATCTGTCATGATTACTGATCGCCAATCTCCAACCAGCAACAACAGCAAGTAAATTCCCTATGTAGCAATTTATTTCCACGCATTGCAATGGCTCAATTCTAAGATCTAGAATTTATGATTGTAAACCTAGATCTCAAAAGTTTATTATTACAATGACAATTTGATGATCTTAAT